TGGACTCCAGGCAGTGGGTGTGGTTTGGGCTTTGCTTCTGTGAAGACTGACAGCCTGGGAGACCCTGTGGGCAGTTCCACTCTGTCCTCTAGGGGCACTGTGGGTTGGAATCGACTCCACGGCATCTAACAGCAGCGAGGAAAGCCTTTTGTCTGTGTGTGGGGGGGCTTGCTCCTGCATGTTGACTGGAGGCAGTGCAGGGGTGGGCAGGAGGTGGGCCGGGTCAGTAGGGCCCACCACACCACCTGCCGGGACACCACAAGGCTGAGTCCATGGGCCCTGGCCCCAGACGACTGCAGCCCTTTCCCAGCCCAGTGAGGGCCAGGGTGGGTGCAGCTCGTATTTTCCTGGGGCCTCCCCCTGGGCCGGGAAGGCTGCCTCCCAGCACCAGCCCTGACCTCAGGTACTCATTTACCCGGATCGAAAGGGGCTGCCGAGCGGGGCCTGATTACAGAGGGGGGCCCTGAGTCATTTGTCAGCTGCCCCTCCCCCGGGCCCCTCCGCGGCCCTCGGGGGCTCGGCACCCTCGCACCTGCCCCATCTAGCTGTGCACAGAGCCGTCTCCTTCCCAGAAGACCCGGCACATCACGGGAGCTGCAGCAGACCGGGCAGGTGTTCCTGACCCCTCGACAGCCAGCCGACGGAGGCTGGTCTGAGCAGATGTGGCTCCTGGCCGGGCCTTGGACACCCTGCCCCCCGCGGCCCAGCAAGGGGTGGCGACAGATCAGAGAGCCGCAATCCCGCCCCCTCCCAGCTCCCCCCAGGCTGAGTCTGGCTCCTGACAGCCTGATGGCTCTAGCTCAGAGGAGGGGTCCCCCAACGAGTCAGGACAGGAGAGAGAAAGCGAAACCCCCGGACACTGCCGCCCTGAGCCCCTTCCCTGGCCCACCTGGGTCAGCCCAGGGGCCCTCCAAGAGGGGAAAACAAACAAGCAGTTATCAAGCCCACTCTGACTCCTGGTGACCCCACAGCTACAGAGAAGACCGCTCCATAGGGTTGATATTTCAGAAGCTGACTGTCAGGTCTTACTTCGAAGGCATCTCTAGGCGGGTCCCAACTGCCAAGCCTTCGGTTGGTAGACAGGCACCTCACCAACTGCACCACCTGGGGACTCCTGCCCTCCTAGGCTTACAGCTCAATGTAGGAAACAGAAGGAAGCCACCCTTGAGAAGAACCTACCCCTGCCTGCCAAAGCTTCGAGGCAGGCTTCCTGGTGGAGGTGGGGCCGAACTGGGCATTGCTGTATGAATAGGAGCTCATTATGCAAAGAGGAGGCAGAGTGGGGTTGGGTCCCATCTAGTCCAGAGGGAACAACTGGGTCCAAATGGACAACAGGTGGGGGCTGGGCTGGGGCCTGCAGGGCCATAGAGCCACAGAGCTGGGGTGGGGCAGAGCTGGGGTTGAGCAAGGGAGGGGCAGGGAGGACAGATGTGAAAAGACTGCTCTGCCCCAACCTGGAGGGCGCTCTGAGGCAGAGACTCGGGGGCAGGAGGGAGAGGGGTGCACTTCTGGAGACGGTGGAAGGGGAGCCGCCCAGGAGCCTGGGAAGTGAAAAGGGGCTGGGGCTGGGGAATGTCAGACTGGTATTGGGGGGCCTCGGGAGAGGCGGTGGGTGTCTGGGTGGGGCCCCCCTCGGGAAAAGCACATCGGGGGCCTCCGAAGCCCCTCCTGTCCATTCCCAGAGCACCTGCCTCCAACCACCCGCTCCTCCTCCCTGGGACATCTCAGATTGGTTCCACCCGCCCTTCCCTGCCCGCTCCTCCTAACCTGCCCTGCTCGCCTGGCCCCACTGCTCCAGCCGCCCCTTGGGCAGCCCTCCCAGAAGCCCAGCCCAGCCTGCTGGTTGGGGGCGATGGGCCTCAGACAGGCCTTGGGGGTCGGGTGCCTGTCCGGGTTGTGCAGGACAGGCGATGCAGGCCCACGTTCCCACCCAGTGTCCTCGCTGAGACCTGCTGGATGGATGGCCTCCCCCGGACCCGCCACTGCATGTTCACAGCAAGGCCAGGCAGCCCGGTCTCTGCCCGCCCACCTGCCACCTGCCTGGCCAGGCCGATGACAGCCACAGCCAGGACCGCCGGGGCAGCTGTTTGCAGAGCTGAGGCTGCATCCTCGCTTGGCTGGGTCCCCAGGCCCGGAGCCTCTCCCGGGAAGTGATCACAGGGTTCAAGAATGTGCCGTTCCCTTCCCACTGCCCTCGGGATAAGAGCCCAGCAGGGGTGGCACCAGCTGTGGCCCCAGAGCTGCACCCCCTGCCCCAAGGGACCCTGCTTCGCCTCACGGCTGGGGGCCTCCTTCCTCTGCCCAGGTAGCATCAGCGGTGGGCTTGGGGCTGGCCTGATGTTCTCCCCGGAACAAAGGGGCCTGTGCTCCAAGGATGGTCGTAGCCGGGAGGGGAGGTCTTGGGGGGTTCAACTCAAGTCCTCCCGGGAAGGGCCGGTCAGTTCCAAGACCCCACACCCTTCACCCTGGGTTTTCATCCACATAGGGGATGACATGTCCTCATGGAGACAATCATGGGCCCTGGACAGATCAAGTAAGGGCTATGCCAAGACACGGCACGTGCCCGGTTCCCAACGATGGATGGTTCTCTTCAGCAATGGCTTCCCCCCTCACGTCACCAAGGAATCCCCATGACGGCAGCATCAGGGCTGCCCAGACGGGCTAGCGTGGAGAGGGGGAGGGCAGGGCTGCCATCTCCCCAGGCGGCACCTCCCGCTCCTCTCCTGCCCCTGGGGCCAATGGGCCCCCGTCATCCACGCCGTCTAACCGGAGCGGGCACTCATGCCCTCTGCACAGTGGCTGCCGGCAAAGGAACTGGGAGGGAGGGCCTGGTAGGCGCGGGCGGCCCCAAGCTGGGCCGTTTGGCCTGAAGGCACCTGGGGCCATGGTCAGCCTTGAGAAGAAGCAGGTGTGGAAGGGGATGGAGTGGGCAGGGTGCACAGTGATGCACAGACTTTCTGGCCCAGGTGTGACAGTCCACGCTTGTTTCGGGTGGACGCTTCTAAGACCACCCTGCAGCCACAGTGCCGCCCCCAACAGGAAGCCCCAGTGCTGCTGGGAGGAGGGTCTCCTTCATCCCGAGGGACACCGCAATGCCTCTGCCTTGTGCCCTCTGCCGACATGCCCTGAGGACACCAAGGCTCAGGGAGGGACGGGCCGCCCAGGGCAGCGCCGGCCGAGCATGGTCACAGCACGGCTGGAGGCCCGGCCCAAGGCTGCCCCGCTCCGTGGTCCTCTCTCCCCCAACAACCCACTCTGCCTCCCTGCTTCCCTTCTCATTCACACTTCTCCCCAATTCAAATCCCTCCGCCCTCCTTCCCCGGCCAGGCCATAACAGGACCTATGGATTCCTTGTCCGGTTCTGCCCCTGCCCCGCCAGGCCCACCACCAGCCCCCTGGGTCCCCCTCCTGTCCATCTTCCACCATCAGTCCTGGCCAACCAGGTCTGAGCATGCTGCAGACCTGAGCCAATGGTTCTGGCTCTTCCAAACCGCTCATCCATGTGCCCGTCCCCTGACCGTCCCAGCCACCCCAAGCCAGGCTGCGGCCTCAAGGACCTGTACACGGTGCCCTAAGCCAGGTCCCCTGCCAGCTCTGCCCTTCCCCTCACACCTGCGGCCTACTGGACACCCCCAAGCACACATGCACATACACAGCAGAGACTTCACTGTCCTCATCTGTGAAATGGAGAAGCTCCTGAATAGGACCTAAGCTCCTGCAGACACTCAAGGAGCAGTGCTTCCATTCAAGGCTCCACTGCGCCTCCTCTTTCAGGAAGCCCTCCCTGCTTTCTCGGCCCCCATACTGCATGTTGGCTTCCATTATGGCATGTCTCCCAACCAGCCTACACCGGCAGAGTGTTGCTCACAGGCTGGCTGTGAGCTCCTTGGAGGCAAAGTCTGTATCACTTTTCATTCATTAATTCCACAACAACACAATAACCACCTGCTGTGTGGAGACCTACAAGATCAAGCTAAGTCCTTGGCCTGGCGTTCCAGGCCTGTCTTGACCCCATCCTGCCCCCTTATCTCATGCCCCCCCCCAGCCTGAGCCGTCTGTAATCCCACAAGTGCCAGCTCCTTGTCACCTTGGCTCTTCTGCATTCCGCCTGTCCTTCGAGACTCTGCTGGGATGTCAGTCAGCCCTCTGGGAAGCCTCTGCTCCCAGCCTCCGTGAACCTGGGGTGGCCTTCCAGTCTACCATGTGGACCCAGTGGGCGCTCGCTTGGGCAGAGCTGTGTCTGAGGCCCTACCCCTGTGCCCAGCCCACCACCTGGCCTGGGAAGGGGCGGGAGGGTTTGTTGAGTGAACCAGTGAGCAGCCCCTGGGCTCATGGCATTTTCAGCTCCTCTTTGCCTGGGAGGGTGAGTCTGCCCCACACCCACAGAGCCCTCAGCGCCTGGCACCCAGGGTGCAGCCCCTGGCCCACCCCAGCCCAGGGTGGGGAGCGGCCTCAGTGAGGCGTTCTGCTCGGCTGCCACCCTATCTCGGGCCATCTTGCCGCCACCGCCAGAGCGGCTGCTCCTCCCAGCCCACTATCTGGGGCCTCATCTCCCTGTGGGCGGGGCCGGGCTCGCCTGACTCCTTCCCCATCTGCCTGCCTGGGTGCTCAGGCCCCTGTATGGCCACCACGCTCCATCCCACCTCACACATGGCATGACGCGCCCCCAGCGCTGTTTCTGCAGGCTGCTTTTGCCTCCTGGGACCTGCCGTTCCTGGCATCTCTCCTGGCAATCAGCCATCCTTGGGCTAACCGGAAGGTTGCCTCCTCCAGGAAGCCTTCCCTAGTGTATTGGCATGGCCCTGCTGGGACCAGCAGCATCACAAGGTCAGAGACGTAGGACTGTGGCCTGGAGACCTGCACCCACCCTCCTGGCCAGTGCCCTGCTGCCCAGCAGTCAGGGCCTTGGGCCCATGCCGTCTTCCCTGCTCTGAGCCTCAGTTTCCCCTATGAAATGGAAGCAGTAAGGTGGGCCTCCAGGACCAGCCCAGCGGGTGTCTGCGGACGGCACGTGGAGCGCTCCATCCGGGCAGAGGTGACAGCACCGCCACCGTGCACACCTGCTGGGCTCGGTCACCGAGCCCTCGTCCAGAGGCAGCGCCCGGGCTCAGAGACGTCACCCTGCGGCGCATGCGCTCTGCGCCTACCTTCCTGCCGGCCTCGTTGTTGTGCAAGTTCATGAGGCGCCGCGCGTTCTTCTTGATCTCGCGCGCGTCCACGAAGCGTCGGGAGAAGTCGATGCCGTAGCGCACGTCGGCCGAGCAGCCGCCCCACTTCCAGCCCTCGGCCTGGTTGTAGTAGCCTTGCTTCTCGCGGTCGCAGCCGCAGTTGCTCAGGTTGCCCTGGCTGCAGGCGGCGGTGACGGCGTGCGCCACGCCGGCCGCCGTGATGGCGTAGGTGAAGGCGGCCTCGCGGCTTCCTGCGGGGAGAGGGGCGCGCCGTGAGACCCGGCCGCGTGCTGCCGGTGCGCTGGGTGACCGCGGGCTGCTCGGGGGCCCTCTCGGGCACCCGAGTCGGCAGCGGCACAGTGGGGCCGATGGAACCCCCTGGCAGGACTGTTGGGGGGCACTGCCTGCGCACAGGCCCTCGGTGCACGCCGGGACCCTGCCACCAGCCAGCAAGGATGCGGTGTTGGACCACAGTGCTGGGCACCTGAGAGCAAAGACTGGTCATCCCCAAGGGCCTGGCTGAGGGGCCCAGAGCAGCCGATGGGGGGGTGCTGCTGGCGCCCTCCACCATTCACAGTTTTGCTTCCCCGGGGCCCAAGCCGTTTGTGGTGATACTTTGGGGGACCCTGAGCGCGTGGAGATGAAGCTGGGACCTGGCCCCGGCTCTCTCTGGCCTCCTCCCTCCTTCTGACACCATCTTCGACCCATCACCGGGTCCCCTGAGGGCTCCCCTCCTCCACAGCCCCCATCGCACAGGCCCCCCTGCCTCAGTCATCCCCAAATACCAGGCAGATCATCTTGAAGTGCAGCTCTGGGCAGAGGCCTCCCCTGAAGCCGTCACTGGCTCCCAAGTGCCGGCAGAAGCAAGCCCACCACTGTGCTGAGAAGGCCAGCCCCACCATCCCCACCCAGCCCTTTCCCAGCCCTCCCTCCAACCAACTCGTGACTTCATCCCTCTGGTGCTCCTCACACCCCTCTGGGGGGTTTCCTGGTCTTTGGGTGGAATTCTCTTCCCCTTTGTGCTCACATTCCAACAACCTTCAAGGCCTGGCTCAGATGCCTCCTCCAGGCAGCCCTCCCAGATCCCCCTCACTGACCTGACCCCTCAGTACCAGATTGACTTTCTCACTCTTCCTGACGGTCTCCGCTAGGTTAACCCTTAAGGTAGGGACTTCGTGGCTCCACATGGGTCCAGAGACTCCTCAGAGTTTTGTTTTAGTAATGTCCTCACGTGTGCAGAGAGGAACTGCACCACAGGGTCAAGGCTGTGTAACCTTTCGGAAACAGACACCAAGCTTGTCTTCCAAAGTGCCTCTGGGTGGGCTAGGAGTGGAGCACTTACCTCTCTGTGCCACCCAGGCCTCCTCCCCTTGGATGGGCTGTTTGACTCCCCATGGCCCCCAGCCAGGTCTCTCAGGTCCCCTTGGCCTCCCCAGCAGCACGGCGGCCCCAGGCCTGGCTGGCTCTGGATGGTCTCCCGTGCCCAGCCCCTGGCACTGAGCAGGCTCAGTGCATGCCGGCTGAAGAACCGAAAGCCAAATTCCAGTGTGCAGACTCTCCCTGCCGGCCCGGCAGGAGATGGCACATGGCCACGTTCCATCGCGGGGCTGGGGACGCCCACCTGTCCTCAGATCGGCCCTGCGGTCAGGGTGCTGGCGCTGATCACCCGAGATGGAGAGGGGGTGGGAGCCGGGTCAGGTCCCTTGCACGTCCGCTCACGGAGCACCTGGTGCAAACCCAGCACAGTGCTGCCTCTGTGCTCGGGAAACCACCTCTTCACTCACCTGCCAGCTGGAGAGGTCTCTGCCCTCGGGGGTCCCTGTTCCCTGGGGGATCTCCACCCTCAGGGGTCCCTGTTCCCTGGGGGTCTCCGCCCTCGGGGGTC